CCGCCGCTCCGCCCTCTGTTGTGTTAACGGACTACACACCGCCGCTCTGCCCTCCGTTGTGTTAGCAGACTACACACGCCGTCAAGCTGCCAGCTCTCCGATGTCGAGCCACGGGACATCACGCCATCAAGCTACCAGCCCTCCGGTGTCGAGCCACGGGACTCACACCGTCGATCTGCCTACTCTCTGGTGTCGGACCACGGGCTCCACACCTTCACACACCTTCAAAATAAAACCTGTTTATATCAACTTCTGTCTCCTGTGGTCTTGCGATTGGATCCTAACCCGTGAACTCCCGTGACAGAACGACCTGACCATAATGGACCCAGCAACCACAGGAGCAGCTACGCCGTACAGGCCTAACAGTCTGCTGGAGAAGATGAGAAGTTTTGCCGCTGAAGTTTCTCGGATTAGCTGTTTCGTGCAGGAACTAGCCCGGACAGTCAAGTCTCCACCAGTTCCAGCACCCGCACTATTCCCTCCTGTCCTCGCTCCGCCGGTCTGGGAATCCCCCGTGCCGGCTCCAGATCCCTATGACGGAACACTGGGGAAGTGCCAGGGCTTCCTGTTGCGATGCCAACGGGTATTTGACCGTCAGCCTCAGACTTTTGACTCGGACGGGTCCAAGGTCTCCTACGTGGTTGCATTACTGCGGGGAAGGGCTTTGGACTGGGCCGTGAGAACATTAAGTGTTGATCGGCCAAATGCTGTGCTTTTTGTGGACTTTGTGGAGGATCTGAGGAGAGTTTTTGATCCTCCGGTGGCCTCCAATTATGTGGCTAAGCACCTTCTCAGCTGGAGACGGGGCCAAGAAGGTGTAGCGGAACACTCGGTGGTCCATCCAACTCCGGCTCCCGGTATTCGGACGGCATTCCGGCCGACACCATATCTAGCTGCTGCCTCTGCGCCGCAGCGAACTCCAGCTCCTGTTCCTGCCGCCTCTGCGCCGCAGCCAGCTCCTATTCCTGCCGCCTCTGCGCCGCAGCCAGCTCCAGTCCCGGCCGCCGCCAGCTCCAGTCCCGGCCGCCGCCGTCTCCGAACCGCAGCGACCTCCAGTCCCGGCCGCCGCCATCTCCGAACCGCAGCGACCTCCAGTCCCGGCCGCCGCCGTCTCCGAAAAGCAGCGACCTCCAGTTCCCACCGCTGCCACCTCGGTGCCGCAGCGACCTCCAGTTGCCGCCTTGGAGCCGCAGCGACCTCCAGCGCCTGCCGCCGCTGCCGTCTCGGAGCAGCGGCGACCTCCAGCTCCTGCCGCTGCTGGACCAGCATCCTATTCCCCGGAGCCCTTCTGCCCGCCCGGCCGTCCGCCGGAGCACCCGTGTCCGAAGCTCTTCTGCGGCCCCGTGGCTGGTCAGATCCAGTTACCCATCCTCCGGACCCCCTCCGCCCACCCTTGTTTGTTGTTCTGGATGGTGTAGCTACGTCTGGAATCCGTTCCTTGAGGGGGGGTGGGGGTACTGTCAGGATCCCTGTCAGACCAGACACCTCCCATGGCCACGCAGCTGCAGCCACTCCAGCCGATTACCTCCTGCAGGCTGAAACACCAGACTCGGGTCCCACTAACGCTTCCCCTGGCACTATATAAACTCTGGTCCTGCAGTCTGGGGTTGTCAGGTCGTACCGTCTTTCACCCGCTTCAACCCCATCGCATCTTCTGCCTCGAGCGCCTGCCTCCGGTGTCCGTCAGTCCGGGAATCCCCCGTGCCCTCCGTTGTGTTAACGGACTACACACCGCCGCTCTGCCCTCCGTTGTGTTAGCGGACTACACACGCCGTCAAGCTGCCAGCTCTCCGGTGTCGAGCCACGGGACATCAGGCCGTCAAGTTGCCAGCCCTCCGGTGTCGAGCCACGGGACTCACACCGTCGATCTGCCTACTCTCTGGTGTCGGACCACGGGCTCCACACCTTCAAAATAAAACCTGTTTATATCAACTTCTGCCTCCTGTGGTCTTGCGATTGGGTCCTAACCCGTGAACTCCCGTGACAGATGTAATGTGAAGAGATGTGTGCCTTGATACCCCAGTGGTTACAATGCATGCCATATCACCGTAACGTCTCAGGTTTGATTCTGTTGATTGTTAATTGCTAATACTGTTATTTCTACACTGCGCTCTGTCAAATAAAGGCAAAAATGCCCCAAAAAGTCAATCTATATAAATATATATAGCCTCCTCCTGATGTGGAATTTGGCACCTTACATGGCAGTCTCTGCCATCAGTGTATGAATGTGTTATAGCTATAGATGAATGCAGTCCATTTACAATGCACACAATACAATTTGGTCGGCTTTCTACAGCGGGTGTGTTTGGTTTGCTGTCACACAATAAACCCCTTAAACAGCAGGCCGAGTCTCTGCCCTGCCAAAGGCCTCACACTCAGTTCTGTGATGTAAAACAGCAGCAGTGGTGTGAGTGCTGGCTTCTGTCATAACTTCATCTTCATGGCGAGAACGTGAAAATAGATGCAATCAAAACACAGAGACTAAAGTTCAGTCCAGAAAAATATTCCCACTGAAATACATACCAGTGTCTCACATCACTGGGATTTGTTGCTTTTGCAACACATACTCAGATTTCATGGATGGGATTTATGGATGGACAGTGTCTATTACACACCTGCAGTCCACTATAAGCAGACCTTTGAAACAATTTCAAGTTGAAATGCCAATGTGAAACTGAGCTCTATAAAAATGTCAAGGACACACTCTAATTCCCGGCAAAAGCAAACTCTGTACCAGCTGCAATACAAAGTTGCAGTGTTCTGTGTAGTATAACAAGTGATAATGATATTTTGTTGCACGTCATTTACTTCATGGGGACGGGAAGGTACACATAGGTGAACTATGTGTGTACTTTACGTCTTTTTAGAAAGGTAGAAACAGTAATTAGGAGCATTGTGCTTGGATGTGTGTGCAGGGTGGCAGGCAAAATGACTCTGTAGAGTTGCTTCCAGAGAGCCATGTGACTCCTTGAAGACCTCTGAAACTGTCAGTTTCCAGAAATAACACACACCAGCTGTGACATGGGACTGAAGCACAACCTCTCTCACAACTCCAAACAAGGAGTGTCACCATTGATACATGTGGTCCAGACTTGGTTTGTATTACTAGTTGAGATGGATTCAATCACTCTAATTAACTGAGCCTGCCTGGCATAATGGAAACAATGTGAGGGACCAAAAAAAGGACAAACCACATTCACGTTTCACAACAAGTAGGCTAAAGCTATTCTCAAACTAATTCAAACCAGTGCCTGATTACAGGTCCATATGTGCAGTAGACTAAACAATGTGAAGAGGACAGGTATATGCCAAAACAAGAATTATGGCTTCAGTCTCAGTCAAGTGTAAGCTATTGGGACGATTGGACAACACAGATCATGGCCAGACACAAAACGTCACACTGACAGACAAGTTGACGATCACAAAGCATGAGAGGATTGTCTCAAAAGCACAGATCAGTGTGACTGTGTGTGACGAGACATAACAGTGCCTCTTAGGTTAGTGAATGAGGAACGCTGAAAGGTGGTTATCTTTGTTTGTCTTTACCAGGTTTCTCTCTCGACCGCACCACAGGTTTAGGTAGAGCATTGCCCCTATGACGTGCCCCATCGGCTGTTGGAGGGAGAAAAAGGTCTGTTATATATTGATTTGTGTCACTGTGACGAACAAATTCCAAATGAGAAGAACGTCAGAAAGAATGAATGCTTGTTGTCTTTATTTCGTACGATCTGTTTTTTTTTTACTGTCTGATGTCAGTCACAATAAAGCTGGAGACTTTTTAGTGTCTTCAATTTGGTTTCTGTTCTGGATATACAAATGGGATTGCCATGACTGTAAAACCTTTAATTCTGTCCTTTGACATTTCAAGTGTTTGAGAGAAGAAGAGATGCAGTGACAGAAAGAAAAGAGAGGCTGGCTGTGGTAGCCATACTGTTTACACGGTGCTTGGCTTGGCATGGTTGGTGTAAAATGCAATGTGTTCTGGCCAGTGCTGTGGCCAGACTTCCCACCCGGCCAGCAAGAGGAACCTTAAATCATGTTAATGATCTTGATCTGAGAAACGTCCCTGCAGCTCATGGTAAATCTGTGAAATACTCATCGAGCACATGTGGCAGAGCGTGGAGAACATATGGACTGTGAGAGGAGGTAAAGGAGGAGATCGGGAGAAAAGTACAAGCATCCAAATGGCTATTGTGTGCATTCAAACACAGATAATATACCAAATCAAGAACCATCAGGTTTTTTTGCCTTTTTCTGTAGATGCACAGTTGCAGACGAGAGCGTGGAAGAGTGCTAGCAGGAGAGGATAACCTGAGGTAGCTACTTGGGAAGAGGGAATGAAAGGAAATGAAGTGCTCCATTACCCTCAGGTGTGCTGGAGCTGTGTGAGGAGGTTAATGGCTTGGATGGAGAAAATGGTCTGGCGCTATTACGAGTGGAATGAGGAGGAACCCGGGTGCGGGACAGCGTGGAGTTTCTTCCTGCTAGAGGTACTGATGAGCTAATGGGAGAACGAGGAACTTCAGCAACAGATTGCTTGAGGACGCCAGTACCTAGATGAGCAGAAAAGCAATTTGGGAGGTTAGAGATGATCCACTTCTGACAGCTTAAGCGCTTTACCTAGATGGAATAAATGATAGAGCACATCAGTGAAAACAATGTTGAACAGTGGACAATGACTGAAATGAAGGAGAGGCATAAATGAGATCGAAAGCTAGCCAGACTGTTCTGGTTGTGAATGGGGCAGGGGTGAGGTGAGTATACTAGGCTGAAAATGGAGGCACACATGGAGGCAGGGGCAATGATGGGGTGGTTTGTGTAGGGTGGTAGGATGGAGATGGAGATGGTGAAGCAGTGACATCATCCAATGGTTTGAAGTACAACTGAAACCACTGGGTTCCATGTGACTTGACGAAAGCAGAGATGGTAATGGGACAAACTTGTCATGGTGTTTACCCTGATTGTAACTACCAGCCTTCTCTGTAGCCAGGGCGGGTCTTGGCAGAGGTTTGCCCTCTTCTGGTGGACTAGGAGCTGTATGAAAGAAAACTCACTATTTATCTAACATAACACAAATGTATTATTTACTTAAAGGGGGCATAATGGAGATAATGGAAAAGGAGGTTATGTTATGTATTTAAATAAAAGCAGCTGGGGTATTTGTTGTGATCATGATAGCCACGAAGAGTAAACTCTTTCATGTAGTCAGACAACTATAGACTAGAGGAACAATTTAGATGGTAAGTATATGGACTCTAACTTTGTCTTACCAATTGAGAACATTTAATCATGGTTTGGAGTTTCTAAAAACAAAATCTATGTCAAAGATACATTTTAGCAGCTCATCAAGATGACTTAACCAGATTCTGACATTAACAATATCTATATGGTTTTGATAACTTATCCTCAAAAATAAACACATAAACAACAGAAATTCAAGTCAATATGCCCCTTTTCAAATTAAATTTAGAAAAAAATCTGAATTCTTAGTGTGGATTGCTGATGGCAAAAAGAAGGGTCTTTACCCGTAGAGACTGCCTGCCTTGGGGTGATCTCGGTGGGATCAGAGTAGGTCCTGGTCTGAGATTGAAGCCCAGGTTGAGGTTGTGGCCTGGGTAGAGGTTCAAGCGGGGATTGAGTCTGGGCATTTGGTGAAGGTTGTGGTTGGGGAATGGGTTGAGTGTGAGATACGGGTTGGGCCTTGTTCTTTGTTGGAGGTTGTGTTTGGGGCCATGGCTGAATCTTTGGGTGGGGTTCTTGTTGGTTCCTTGTTCGGGGCTTTCCTCGAGGCTTTGGCTGCTTTTTTGTTCGAGACTGTGTTTTGGACTTAGGTTGGCTCTTTGATTGAGGCAGCATTCTGGCCTTGGGTTGGCTCTTTGGTTGAGGCTGTGTTTTGAGCTTGGGTTGAGAAAAACTGATCTTTGGTTTAGTTGTTGGTTGGTCCTTATACTGCTGCTTGGTGGTTAGTTGAGGCTCTGGGTTGGTTTTTAATGGAAGTTGTGGGTTGGTGTTTGGTTGTGTTTGTGTTTGGGTTTGTGGCAGAGTTGTAGTTCTAAATTGTGGTTGAGGTTGGGGCTGGATTTTAATCTTTGGTAAGGCATTTTGGGTCTGAGG